CATGAGTCATGGACCGATTGGAGGTCGAAGACCTTGAGCGCTACGAGCACGTCTCCTGGTGAAGCGTTGGTGATTCTTGAAACCACCTCTGCTAGGAAGCAGAAGCTCTATTGGCGCGGGCACTTGACCGGGTCAGTCAATGTGCAGGATATCATAGTATTCGAGCTGTGCAATGCACCTTCGGGTGATGAAGACGGCAGCGTCATTCTCGAGGCTACTTCCATGGTGGATGCTCTACTTGACCTGGAAAAGATGTCCTTAAAACAGTTTAACGGTGCCTTGAAAGCAGGCAATTTAGCCATGGTGGTCACTATACGACCGAACGAGGAGAACAGCTCGTCGCCACTTCTGGGAGAAGCTATCCTGGAGGTCATTAAGAGGGTGCTGAATGCACGAAGTGGATCATCGATCCGAAAGGATCCCTTGGATCCGTACTATCCTTTGGTAAAGGAGTTTCAAGACGCCGTCTCCAAAGACCCGCCGTCAGTTCTACCTTCTGACCGATGTGTGCGTCATGAGATTGACCTGGTCCCGGGAGCCAAATACTGCATAACACGCCGATGGCCCCTGTCCAAAGAGCAGTGTGACGTCATTGACGCCTTTTTACGTGCGAGCCACGAGGCAGGAATGGTGCGTGAGAGCAAGTCTCACCATTTGACACCCACATTTTGTGTTCGGAAGACGAAGGGCAACTGGCGTACCGCTCATGCTAACAAATGAGCCAAACGCTGGACCATTCCGGCACAGACGCATATTTCTAGAAAGAATGTTCTCCAGAAGAATATGGTTGGCTGTATAAAGTACAGCGTACTCGACTCAGATGATGGGTATTACCAATTGCACATGAGAGCGAGTAATATTCCGCTGACAGCGGTGAGTAATATGAGCCGCTTGCTCTGGGGGTGACTGGAGATGCCCCAAGGGCTGTCAAATGCACCAGCAATATTTAATTGTCTTGGGACGCAGTTGTTTCGACCCCACTGGGTGTATGCATAAACATACTTCGAAGTTATCTTTATCCACAGTCGTGCGGGAAAGAGAAGACAGATGAGGAACCCCACATCTTCCATTTTAGAGCGGTGCTTGAGTGCATGCGCACGAATAAGCTATTTGCTAATGCCTATAAGTGCATTTTCGGCGTTGAAGAAATTCTCTTTTTAGTGTGCTACATTGAGAAGCGTGCCATTCGAGCGGATCCTGCTAAGATCAAGGCCATTGTGGAGTGGCCAATTCCAAAGAACTTGTGCAAATGGCTTGGCCTTGCCAACTACTTGCACAAATATAGCGCAAATTCCGCGGATCTGGCACGGCCATTGTCTAATCTCCTTAGGAAGGATACGAGATGGTGTTGGAACACCGATCTTTGAGAGGCTTTTGACAGGGTCAAAGACAGTCTCCTTCATGCACCAATACTGGCGCTGACAGATCCCGATTATCCTTTAGTGTCGTCTGTGACGCTTCGGACTTTGCCATCGACAGTGCACTGCTACAAGCAGAAGCCGAGGGGTGAGATCGTGTGATCGCGTTCGAATCTCGCTAGCTTAAGGCTGCGGAGATGAATTAACCAGCACCGATTTGACGGATACGCCACGAATTGTGGTCCCTCACGATGAGGATTTGAAATACCGAATCCTCTATGAGGCCCACAACACCCCACTCATTGGCCTTCTCGGTCGTGAGAAGACGTATAGCTCTGTGAGTTGCCACTACTGGTGGCCCAATCTGTACAAATGGACGAGCGCATATTTGCACATGTGAGAGACGTGTCAGAGGGTGAAACCCTCTCTAAATCCGGCAGATTCGCTAGTCAGTTTACGGGTACCCTCCGGGTGTTGGCAGTCCATGAGTGAAACTTTGCGTTTGGCCTGCCGAAGGACTTGGCGGGCAACACGGGTGTGATGGTCTTTGTGGACCGTTTGAGCAATATGGCTCATCTTGCGTCAGTGCGGACACCATCGACGGTGTTGGTACAGCGACGATGTTTGTGGAATGTGTTGATCGACAACATGGACTACCGGAGACAATTGTCTCTGACAGAGACCCGCGCTTTACTGGGATTATTTGGTTCTACAATCTTAATGGTGCTGAGCTTGTCAACAGCGGTCCATCCGCAGATCGATGGTCAAACTGATCTGGTGGATCGCGTCGTCAAAGAGGTCCTTCGCAGTGCTTGCGCAGAGACGCCGAAGCACTGGAGCGCCATGCTGTCACTCGTAGAATTTGCTCTGGACAATTTAGTGCAGCTGTCTACCGGCTATTATGCCGCTTTACTTAAACGGGCTCGCGCTCCGCTGTCGCCGCTACACCATGGCTCAGAGCTTGGTGGGGGAAAACTTGCCAATCTGTTAGCCTCCTCACCGTGCGTAAAGAAGTCGATGACTTCCTATCTTCCACACTGAGCGTCTTACGACACGTTCGCGATGCGATGGCTGAGCCAAGACATGCAGAAGGAAGATGCAGACGGAAGATGCAGAAAAAATGTTGAAAACGTTGAGGCCGGAGACCTGTTTTAACAAATGCTAAAAACCTTCCTTCACCTGCAAGTTCTGCTGACTTTAAGACGAAGCTACGTACACGGTTTCTTAGACCTTATAAGGTCGTGGCCAAGCGAGGCCTTGCGTATATGCTAAACCTACCGAGAAGGATGCACACCAACCCGGAGTTCAATGTGGGCTTGCCTAAACCGTGCTGGGATCCAGCGATATTGAAAGCGTTACCGCAGGAACGATGCCCCAAGGCGCTCGGTGTTTGAGCACGGAGTGCATTATTTCCGTTTCCAACAGCTCAAGACGCTCCACCGTTGCACGAATTGACGTATTCGACTGGTTGACGTTTATGAGCCGCTCCGACAGAGCGCGATAATCCTCAACGTGGGGCAGTCGGTGCACAAAGTGTTCCAGGCTATAAAAATCTTCCGTACAGCTGCAGGCGACTTTGAAATAGTGTTTGGCGAGTGCCGATGATGACGGACTTTATCCTCCAAAGCTTGAAGAGCATCGCGAGTCACCGGACGGCAATCGACCAAGTCGTCATCGTCCACCGCCAACTCTTCTCGATGAGAATAGTGGCGTCCACTATCACGTGAAAAGCCTTTTGGGTCGACGTCGTCGACAGGGTCTAAATTAAAATCTTGTGAAGTAGCGGAGATACCCAAAATCCGAGAACTCGAGGGAGGTTGAGGTGTCACTTCGGCAAGACTGCCCCGGCGTCGTTGACACCTATGATCAGTAGGATCATAACGCTTCTCGTCGTCGTGCGTCCCACACTTCTCGGCGGTAAACCGTGAACCGTAAGGCCATAAACTGAGCTTAAGCAATGGCCCTGAGCTGCTGTTGTCGTAGTATCACCGTGTGAGAAACCACAGTGATCGCGGTAGCGTGATGGTTGATTTTATGTGTAGCAGGGCGACAATACGCAGGAAGTCGGCGTTGCGCCTTGAATTAAGCTCAAATCGAAGATGGCGCTCTATGCGTACGTTCACTTCCTAGTGGCTTTGCTGTAAGTAAGAGAGCGAGGAAAGTTCCAGCCAACTTTTAAAGACCTCCTCATCATCTGCAGCGTTTTGCCAGGGGCGAGCACCACAAAAATAGTCCGTATTGCGGGTACAGGAGTGCCTCTGCTTTAAGCTCGAATTCGAGCGCGGTACCTATCTGTTGAAATATATTGAGGTACCAAGAAGCGAGCTCGGAGAGCTTTCAGCTTGTCAAGATTAGCTTGTGTTGTCGACGGGGGCCCGACGACGTAGACGCCCAACGATCGGGTGATCGCGTCGTTCGCTTCAGTTCCGGGATCCGCCGAGCGCGTCTTTCGCTTTAGTTGTGGGATCCGCCGAGCGGAAGCCGTATTCCACACGAGAGTCTAGGACCGACCGTGGATACGAGCGCATGAGAGCCGCCCTGAGGGTAGCCTCCAATTACCGCTGCTGTAACTCGTCGAGGCGATTGGTAGCAATACCACACACCCCGGAATTTGAGAGGTCGGGGAACGGACACGATGTCCGCAAGGCTCGAGTTGGACTCACGTCGTGCTGTTTGCGCACCTCATCTTCCTTGTCTTCCATGCTGGAAAAAAAATCCGACTCGTGGTCGACTTCCTCCGAATCCTCGACGAGGAAATTGGTCACCCGGGGCAGCCGCGGTGTGTAGCGCTCGGTTGCCGAGGGCTTGGATGTGCTTTCCGTGAAGCCGTGAGCGTACCTTCCGGAGAAGCGCCCCGTGCAGAAGAAAAAGAAGGGCTTTGGCTGCGAGCGCACTCGGAACCAGTTCGGCCGGGTATTTTTCGTGTCATAGACACAGAGCTAATTGAGCGGAGAATGTTCAAGGATGTTCTTAAGTACGTAACGGTGTCTTATACACTCGAGCGTCTTACGAGGCGGAAGTTAGATGTGATTTGTAATTATTTACAATTATGATGGGGGAGAGTGTAACGGAGCTACACTTCCCTGCCAGCTCCTACGTCTCTCCGTCTTTTTATGATACGCAGGCCGAATCGTTCATCATTTTGACAATGAAAGTTTAGATAGGATATGGTATAGCGAGGACAAAGACATAGGAACCTAACAATCATTTCGTGTCTTACTAATCAATTATAATAGAGACAGATTGGGCGAGGGCAAAGTCTTTGATGGACGAACGGTAGCAACTTTACTAGTATTGTGATGATTTTGAGTTAAAAAAAGAATAGAGAAAGTCGCAAGTATGTAACACATATTGTATCCTCGATAGCAATCGGGTGGACGCACAGGTGGCTCAGCAGCCATGAATTCTTTCGTATGCTGTTCATGTGGCGGGCGATGTGCAGCGGGGTGGAGTTATTCATTGGCCACGAATGCCGCGTGTGGGAACAGTGTATATATTGCAAGGTGGATCAAAGAGTGAAATACTGTTATATTCACCTGGATAGTTTGTGACTATGGATTGGTTGATGGAGTGCGTACACTATCATGATGTACCAAAATACTTCGTAAACTCTAAATTGAGCTATTGCATCATGATCAGTGCTCAAAGCGGGTTGGGGGATGGAGTCCCGTAGATAATTGTTAGAGAAATAGTCCGTCGATTGGCAACCAATATTTTTGCGGCACTTCGAAGCTCAAACGATGCGTACTCCTGCAAAAGCATCCACGACCGCTTCTATTGTAATTTTCTCTTACACATTTTAATCTGTAACCTTGTAAAGACTGACAGACGAGTGATCCTCGTTTCTTTCAGATATCTCCTCGACTTAGCATAGGTCGCGTGACCTCTGCATAACAAAGCATGGAGAGGTCCAGTTTGGGCATAATTTAAAGCGGACATGTGCGGTCGTGGATTTTTTGCAAATTAATAAAAATACAGCCTTGCATTCAAGTCTGTCAATATTCTGAGCTTATTGATTTATTACGAAGTCTTTCAATGAGCTGGCAGTCACGCAATGCTCTTGGACATGGACGTTGCGACTGTGATCATTAGATTGAATTTTTGTCTTGAACAGAATATGAGCTAACTCTATTTACGCTTTGAATCTAAGCGCCAAGAAATAGCCATTAGCATGGTTAAATTTCCAAGTAAAAGGTGTAGCCAGCATAGCTGCGCATTCTCAAGTTGACAAAATTGGTCTCCTACAACACCCGATACACCAACAGAAATTCTTTGACTATAATACTTGATCCATGACACTTGGGTGGTAGTAACAGGTTTTGTCTGCCTACTCGTATTGTGATTGCAACCGAAGATGTTGTTGCTATCGCAGCACGGGCGAGCTCATCACTATCTTGAAAGAGCATTCGAAGTCTCCAATTTGTTTCTTTGTTGTTTCTGATCATGTTGAATATACACGCCTAAATTCATGTGTGTCGAAAGATCAAGCTTAACTTTTGCAATTCAATCGCAAACATTATTTTGACAATGCGTCGAAGACTTATCAACACGTGCATCGTACCTACGAAAAACACAAGTCCGATAGAACGCCAAGCAAAATGAACTCTGATTATTATGTTATCTATTCAGGGTGCAACTAAATTTTGTCGGCTATTTCCACGCATATCACTATTTTATCGCACTGGCGGGCCGGACTATTGATGTGTTAATCCTTAACAAATACTCAAAGCGAATATTAGCTGATTCTTCGATCGTTAGAATCATTATATATGCTTTTAACCACCCGCATAAGGATAGACTTCATTGAAGATACTCAAATAGCCAATTTTACTTTTGCTCAAAATTTGACTAGATCTTCTCGAGATTTATTATGGAATACGCGATTTCAGGAACTAGTATTAGATTTGCGTATCGAATACATTTTTACCTTCACAGTCATCCCAGGATAGCGAAATTTGCTCTTAAATTGCTATAGTAAAAAAATTTTTTAACATTTGCGGCATAATAAGATTTATCTCAGTGTGAGATTGAGCACAATGGACATTTTGATCGATCACCATGTATCGCAGCAACAAAATGAACACTCGTGGTACTTTTTAGCTGCCTATTTTGCCCATAAAAACCCTTCTTGTTACGCCAAATCAAACAGGCGGATAATGAGAATGATAGAATTAAGCTTTCCATTTCAAACGGACCAAAAACGCCCGCACTAAATTTGAGATGACATCAAATTATCTGTTCTCATAGAATGATACAGCTTTTGATAAGTCCACAGTAATGTACAATTATTTAATTCTTTTGTAATGACATTGTGTTTTAACTGTACTTTGTCATAGAGGATTAAAGCTGACAAAGTGCGCAAAAATCAGTCATGAAATAGCAACTTATAGGATGATGCTGGTTTTAAGGACGCTCTACAAATTAGTTTTATTGACTAGACGTTCTTTAATGTACGAAAGGTCATCGAGTTGTAAGTAATAAACATCCGTTCCACCTCAATTCAAGAAAGATGCCTGTGTCTACTCTTGGGAAGATGGCAAACACCGAAATACAGGTATTGTAAAGAGTACTTAGTATGCTACTCTGTTCTTCACCATTATCGTAATCTTTGTGACGTCACTTAACGCATTCAGCAGTATAAACGTAGCACCCACACTCGCCTCACAGCTAAATGGTGTTTGCTTCAATACAGATTTGGTGTTGGCACCCGTTGCCGCGCGCAGAAATCTGAGTATCTTGAATCCAAGTGCTCTTGTCGGTGTACCTGCCATTATTTTTTCGAATCGATGTAGTCAGCCTTCAGTTATTCATACTGATCGTTCTTCCAAATAAAGTGATTCCTGGTTTCCACGAGCCTTGAATGAGCGTAATAGCTTGCATTGCTTTTCAACGCATTGGTCCCATGTTTGAGACTCATGTTCCTGAGCATTACACGCGTCCAAAGAGCATATAATGCAAGCCATGAACTTGGCCTCTGTGGAACTCAGATCTACCTCTCTCTGGTTGTTGGACTTGGACACAGCCGAATCATTACTTATATTTAGTAAAACACCTGATACAGAACGTCTGTCAATGGTATTGCTGACCAGGTCTCTCTAAGAAAAAGATGCCACCACATTTCGAGTTCTTTCTTGCGAAATGATCCAGTGATAAAGAGTCGACGTCAAGAAGTGTAGTACACAATTGCGGCGATCCAATGTTGTAACTCGGTAATCTTGAGAGAACGAATTAGTTGCGTGACGACATATGCGATGTCCGGATGAGTGCACGCTGTGATATACGGTTGACTTCCGATAAGAGGGCAATATGGTCTCCAAAAGTCCAACTCTTTACCTGGTGACTGTGATGTCGACGGTTTGACACAAACGCACTCAGAGTATTGATGTCCACGCATCTTTGGCCAAGTAACTCATTTATGTCGTGAATGCAGCATGGCTGTTTGAACATTTGGGTTGCCGCTCTATTGTTGTGGTTGAAATCCATATATTTTAGCCTTGCCGATAGGCCCGTGCACTAGATTCTATACGCATGAAGTTATCGTAATAGAGCGGCATAGCACAGCTATACTGCTTACGAAATGCAAGGTCGTCATCATTATATCTTAGGCTGAATATACATGCGAGCAAGTCATAGCTCCCGCGGACTATCAGCTCCCGAATATAGAGCCGACCGTGCTTCCTCGTGGTGACAATCTATTGTGTATGTTCTACCGTTCCTTGTCCATACCAGTTGCCATAGCTCTGTTCTTTCCAAGATGGTTGCGAATACGCCGTAGCAGCACACTCAACCCACCTTCGGCAAGATTTCCCACAGACATAAAACGTCTGTCAAATCAATAAGCTTAACCTACATTATGGAAATGCGTCTTTTATCTTATCCCATAGGTTTCACCGTTCTGATTTCTTCAACTCTTTACATTTTTCCATCTGCACTTCTTAACTCGATGCTGCTTTAAAGTATCTTCTAATCGACCGAGTCACTCCGGTGAGGGGTCATGACGACATCGCGCTGCTGTCAATAAGCCAACCATTCAATCGCTCCTCATCCGCAGCAAGTACTACATGGCTACCACTGAAACGTTTTCATAGATGATTCACAACTGGGCAGTTCCGTCAAATGCGGCCCAACTGGTCCCAGATGAAGCCCTGACGCTTAAAGCTGCCGTCTTATTGTGACGCGAAAGCCTTGCTACCGCTTTCTCGTTTGATCTCGAGCCGTCCGTTTTTCCAGTAGGGCAAATGCTTCTCCAGTGACTTTCTCTTACCATAATCTCTCAAAAGCTTATCCTTGAAAGATATAGGTGTGATATTCCTGACATTTTCCAAGAAAGAAAAAATCAGCACATATATGATGACAGGCTGCCCAGAATTATCACTCGCTAGCTTGACCCATTCACAAACTCCCCTGTCGCGAAGAGCACCACAACTAATATGTCAAACAGACCAAGATGTTCCGCCATACATAATCCAAGTTACTTTTAACACATGGACGTGACCTGTCATCGTGACAAGGTTGTACAACAAAAATCAATCGCTGAAATCGTGAAGCGCTTGGACAGCAACTTTATCCATGCTATTACGCTTCGCGGCATTCCAAAGCCACCGTGCACTATAAATAGACATTGGTTTCGATTGCTAAAAAAGAAGCATAATAAAGCCGAGCTAAACTGGAAATCATGAAATTGTCAATAAGATATGTAGTCGATGAAGCGCTTCATTCTATAGCAAGTCGTTAGTAAGCCAGCTGTATTGATTCCGAAAAGATACCAGCTCATTACCGTTTTGACATTGGATGTACTTTTTGTAGCACTCATTATATATAGAGTGATACTCTTGTGCACTTGGTGGTAATCACTAGTTAAACAAGATGTATCAAGAGTACACTATAGTATAGTGAATCAATACATTGACTAAGTGTTTAAGAGGTAGCAGCTCTTAGCATCTTTTGCCTCAAGTAGGTTTTATCGCTTAGAGCCTAAGTCAACCTATGCCATCGTGATATGATCACAGTTAGGTATTGCTGGATGCTGACGATCGGATATATCCTTTGCCCGATTGTATATAGGTCATATCAACTTTTGTCGAGATCGGACGGGGTTAAGAGTTTGAAGGAGCAGCAAAACTTTGATGCTTTTTAAATTTAAAACAAGCTTGTATAAAGAAAGTTATTCTTCAAGGACCAAAACCTTATCGTCGCTTGAAAAGCGCCTTTACCTTGGTAAGCTCACTAAATCATTGAACCACAGTAGGTAACTGCAACTCGGACGGGATACTCTGTATGGCTATAAAATCGTAATGGTCGACCAATAACAGTTTTTGCACACTAAACAAGAGACACAAATTGATCAATATGAGAACGATGTGGCCTTATAGAGCACACAACGCCCACGATAACTATGATTAACGATTGCTGCTGCTAGCAGCCCTGATCTCATCCCTGCCAAGTACTTTGGTGCATCGTATTGTGCTGAATTCGGTCAACGATAATAATCAAGTAGGCAGCATGTGATCGAATCAGTCAAATGACTGCTGATGGCACCTGATTTGAGTCATTGTTGATTGAGGCACAAAATCAAGAAAAGCGAACGATAATAAAAACATTGAACAGTGCGTTACAGGAAGCAAATCAATCTTTGAATCAGCTCGAATCAGCACGTAAATTGGTGGCAAATAGACGCATGATGATAGCGAAGCAAAGTAATGGTTTTCATAGGCTGCAGCTTCAGCTGAAGTCCGCGAAAGATAAAGGGTCATTTGCAGAGAGAAATAACCAGCGATTTCAAACGGAAGTCACAAGCGCAAAGAAGAAGTTGCTGTGTTACGATGCCAAGGTATGGTGGAGATTTAGATTATGAGGAAAGAATTGACATAATTCTTGTTGCAAACAGGTTAACAAACTGAAGTCTGACAAAATTGTACTCTAAAAGTCTTTGATCGAATCTCAATGACGCGAAATCGAGTCGACAAAGCAACTGGCTTTAGCACTAAAGGCAAATTTTGGAATTTATAGCTCACGACACAGATGTCGTAGATCTAAATATCGTCAGAGTCCAGCTCAGCTGTCGACTTCAACGTGTTACTCTTCTGAGAAAGCTACGAACACCAGTACTCACGACCCATTTCGCACAACATAATGCAACAAAAACAAATATTTCTTTTCCGTCATCCATATGTACTCCAGCTCAGCAACATCAAAACAAAAACGAAGAATTACTCGATTAATTGCAAGAAATTCTTTCTGTGCCCAGACTTGGCATCCTAGATATAAATTTATAGTTGACCATATTTATAGACACAGATACATGTAAATGAAATTTGAGTTGTAGTTCGCTCTATATGACAAGAAAAATGGCAATACATTAATGTTCTCCTGTCTCTGAAAGTTGATTCCTCATTTGTAAGGCAGATTGCGTCGATGCTATCAGTTTAGGCCAATCCTTCGCATGGCCATCCATATGCGACATGGCAAAGGCCACTTGAAAACGGTTATCACAAATTTGAGCCATCGTAATAGCAATGGCTTTATCTCACTGCCAGAACGCAAAATTTTAATCTTCGTTCCCATGGAAGCTTTTCACCTCAATTTTGACAGGACATTGCGTATATACAGACGATGTCACCGCTACTTTCGGAGGAGATGATAAAACTGGCGCTGGTATGGTCTGCGATGGAAATTTTAATGATCCTTGCTCATACGCAGCCAAATTTGCTTAGCGTTGCGTTATCGCTTCTTGATCCAATTGGAGCATATCGGAGACCGCGTGATATCCGATTACAGCTCGCAGCTTTATTACACACTCCCACTGCGAGTGGGTGGTGAATTCTTCCTGATGTCTGAGGACGTGTCGGCGTTGAAATGACTACTAGTGCTAGCAAATGTAACGGAAATTGCATATCCGTGTAAACACACTTACTAAAAAGGCGTAGATCAACTAACACACCTTACCGCGTTTTGCTCGCTTCCAGTGCGCCGTTCACTTAGATTAAGAGGAGGAAAGGTGAAGTGACATTTCTTATTATATATAGCTAATAGGCTTTTAACCTCTCTAACCTGATAAGTACTTTAACCTCTGATACAACAAAAATAATGATGGTATAATACTATACAGGATGTACGTTAAATGTCAGACACTCAATGCATGTCATCTACTCAACATGTATATTCGTGCCTGGCCCATTTACATTCAATGCTGGCAGAGGTTTCATTTCTTTCACGACTCGGTCGTGGGATAGACCGACAGTGTTACCGAGTGCAACAAAGGACGCCGTGCACTAAGCACGAAGGAGGTATATACGCTCAGCATCGGCGTTAAAAATCGCATAGCGTATAATTTCGTGTGCTAGCTCCTATCAGAAGCGAAACTGAGACCAGTTAAAATAATCAGCACCGCTAAATCGCTTTCCCAATTTAAGTTACATATATTTAGAATTGATTCTGTTTAAACAAGCATTATATTTTTGTTTTACTATATCTCATTATAAAATAATCGTTTTTCTGCATAAGTACCATGGGAAGCGGAGGTTGGGTCATTTGGGTATGAGTTTTATTTTATTTAAAAAAACGTTTATTTATTTATTAAAAATGTGTGTTTTAGGGTTTTATGGGACACAGACCGATTCCGAGCAAGATGCAAATCCTTCGCGCTTTTTACAATCTGTTCTTCGCAAATATTCTTCTCTTCCTTGTGTTCTTGAAATACCTGCTCAACCGCTTAAGCAATAACATACCCCAACCAAGCAGATATTTCCGTCGATCTTACCCTTGACGGGTCCACCGTAGATCTCTCTGGGAAATGCGTTTATGCTGCAGTAGCACTACAGAAAACGGGGATAAAGAAAAGTTGATGACGTTTGAAGTTTGTTTACTGACTCCTTGTAACCACAGAAACCACAGTTTTTGACCTGTAAACACTGAAAAGCCTTCGTCAATTATCGACTTGATTCGGAACGAGGTAGAGCTCATCTGAGTAAATTTTAACCGCTTATGAAGTCCATAATGTTGCCGAAGTTTGATTAGGGTCCCGAACGGTTTGATACGCCGCGCTCTTTTAAGAGAAAGCAATGTGGATCAATCGCAAATCACTCGACAAACAAAAAAACAGACTTCCTTACACAATTACATGCTACCGAATCTTTCTATAAGGTACAAAAAAGTGAGGCAACTAATTGGCATATACTTTTATGTTATGGATCACATTTGTGGCGCGTTAAAGAAGAAAGTAAAGGAAAGTGTTTCAACTATGTCGTTCAGATGTGGATCTCCCTGATTGCAAAAGCTTGCAGGCCCTTTGCAGCAGAACTGTATCGATATGGTCAGATCACAGTTTCGCAAGCAGTTGCAGGCATTTAACACGTCATTTTTTACTATACAAGGATGGTCAAACGTGAGAAATGAACTAATTTATCGACAGGCAGCATATCGTTGATTCTGAAGATTATCAATACGCAAGAGCGGGCCATACGGCTCAATGCATTGCTGACAATTTTAGCCCTGTCATTAGATCTAAGCAGACTTGGTTTTTGTATTAGTGGGGCAGTAACCGATAATACTGCCACTAAAAATTTGCATGAAAATCGTTGCAGTAAAAAAATATCCTTGGATGTTCTTCCAAGGGTGTGTGAGCCACGGTCTGCATTTACTTGCGTGGGGCATTATTGCAGCCGCCAAAATAAAGCGACGAAAAGCTGTCGCAGATTATTCCGATGACACCCATTCGAGTATTCGCTCACATTTGCTTCTAGCATTAAAACTTTTGTTTCGTGTCACCACCAAGTCAAGACGACGTTTGTGAAAGAACAAAAAAGGAGAAAGAGTCGACATCGATTAATACAAGATAAGGCAGCTTGCATGACTGCTACTCCAGTTTGCAAAAAAGTGAGAACATTCTCCACAGTATTAATAAATGTTAAGATTTGGTATAGTCAAGATGAAAGAAAGTGCTCAAAAAGTGGTTGATATCATTACCAATGCAGATTCCTGGTGTTATCTCGAGAAAGTTATAAAGCCGAATATCAAAACAAATGCCATATTCCGAAAAATTCCGTACCTGTTTCGAAAGTGTGCCGCGCATTGAAATTCGACGTTCCACAACTTTTCCGACGTTTAGAACTTGAGGAAAAGAGATATTTATTGCAATTGGTACAAACGCGACTTAATTTCTTGTACGACAACAGGACTGAAATAGAATAGTTCTGGGTTCAGGATTGTTGTTGAGGGCGATTCGTTTGATTTAGTTGCAAACAAAGCAATTGAATACGTCTAATTTAGATCAACGCAGATAAGGACCGTGAGGAAAACGACTTTCGGCTCAAAACGTTGCTGAAGCAAACAAAAACTGTTCTTCAATACTGGATGGTCCATGGAATCCGAAATCCTTTACTTAAGAATATTGCCTTCAAGGTTTAAGCTTGGTTACATTAAGCTCTGTGTCTGAATGAAACTTTTTATCTGCTGGGTTTATTTATTAAAGCTGCGGAATCATTAAAGGTGCGGCGGGGCTGCCGTAGCTTTGCGCTTTGAGAAAGCGCAAGTTACGTCACCGACCTTTCGTTCTATACTTAGAACAAGTACGAGTCTAGTGGATCGCAATCCCCTAACTCCAAGAGTAATTATTGCCTTAACCCAAGGCTAATTAACTCTTCCGTTTAAATCCAAAACTGACTTTATTTATTTTTATCTGCGGCTAAGCCGCCTACTTTCTAATGTATAGATTTCTAAATATATATAGTAAAATCTAAATACATACAAAAATACTGGCTACCCAGCCACGTACCGTATTCTTATTTTGGTGCAGTCACACCATGCCTATCTCGTGTGACACACACCCCTATTAGCAGGGTACGCGTAACCCCGTTACACCCTCCCCCATTCAGATTGAGAATATTTATAGTTCCAATTCATTATTGCCTCAAGGAGGCTTGCGTGTCCTCTAGACACTGCAACTTGGTTTCTCGGAACAAACCGACTTCCGTGCCCAATGAGCCCTGTGCTAACGACACCGAAGTCACCAAGTCTCGCTGGTTCTGACAGCGCACACGGGTAGGGCTCAACTTCGTCTCCCGCACGCGGTGCAAAGTCGGACTGTGCGTCCGCGGCATCGTGGGATGTAAATCCTAGGCTCGACGAGCCCGAGCATCACACTCCGCCCACGCTATTAATGACGAGTGGCCTCGTTGAGGATGTGGAGGTGGTCGACTACGAGACTGACACTCCTTTTCCAGCGTCGGATGACGAGGAAGGCGAGCCGCGCCAGCGGCGTGAGACGAGCTCTGTTCGCGCCTTGCGGAACCCATGTCCGTTTCTTGACCTCTCATTACCTGAGGGACGTAGTGTCATTACCAATAACCTCGATGAGGCACAGAAGCGGCTGCCCGTAAGGCAGCTCTGATTCGCGCCCATCAACGGCCAGTCATGGACCCTCATGCAGAATACGGCTTCCGCCCGGCGGATCCCGCTGTGGAAGCAAAGGACGCGAGAGATCGATCGTTACGCGTCCACATCATTGGACATCCGGCCAATATGGACGATGAACTTGCCACACGGAACGCTCAACGAGGTGGCTCTCGTGTACCCGCAATGCGAACAGTACCTGTAGTGCTTGCCCCTGGAGAAAGCACTACAGATGGCGAAGCGCTCTTTGAGCGATGAATGAAATGGCACCGGAAACTTTTCTCACTGTATAACTTACAGTTGAGCCACAAGGAAGTGAACGTGCGTGTGACACCTCCACGCACGCAGTCGACTTCCTTCGGATTGTCGCCCTGCGACGTATGGATCAACCACTAACGCTCCCGCGAGCTCTGTGTCTGCGACCGCAAGAGCTCATGGCCACTGCTTAAGCTCAGCTCGTGGTCCTTCGACTTCCCTGGCTATTGCAGGGAAGCGCGGGGCGTTCTGATCTCTCTGACCAAAAGCGTCCACGGC